CACACACACACACACACACACACACACACACACACACACACACACACACACACACACACAAACCAAGTGGTTACGACGGGGAGGCAGGATCTTGATCACTATTGGCTTTAGATGACCTTCGTCATGAGTCTCACCCAATGAGAGCATTTGTTGTTAGGCCGTTGCATGGCAACACGCAGCCGCTCTTGTCGAGCTGCAGCAGCGGCAGAGACATGGCAGAAGTCACCAGATTCTTCAGGGCATTTTTCTTTTAAATTTTTTCCTGACTGTGGGCTTGAAAGAAGCAAAGTTATCTGTAAGTGCCGCAATGCTAAACTGTCTCACCACTGAAGCAGCTCGAGCCTGAAATATCACTTCAGTTTAAAATCAGACAGCGTGTTAGAGAAGTGAGAGAAAAAAAAGAAAAAAGTAAGACCGGCTTGCTTTGCCTTATTTGTTTAAAGATTTTTTGAAAATGCATTGCCCTTTTTAAATATAAAGCAGTACCTAAAAATGTTCTAAACATCTTTGAGTCAATTAAATTTTGTGCAGAATAAATGAAGAATTCAAGGATTTTTTTGTTGTTGTTGTTTTATTCCAAATGAGTACTACATGATAGACTGGTTTAAACCAGACCCTGTCCTTCACTTTGCTTCGTACAAGGGTCTGGACTTGCTGCATAGAGAAGCGTTTCTTGCAGGAGGCGTGGCCTCTGCTGAAGTTTAAAATGATTGGATCAGTTGGCTGCAACGTATGTCGCTGTGACGGAGGCTAAGCTAAGAAGCTAACCGGAAATCGTGTGTGCTGTTAACAACCCTACTGAGAGGAGAAAAGTACCGAGCTGAACGAGACGACTGTAAATGAGAGCTGCTGCTTTGTCAGACAAATTTAATTTAATTTGGAAGCCTTATCAACACAGACTGGCTTCATTCACTTCCTCCACTGCTGTATGCTAAAATAACTAGCAGACACTGTGCAGAAAGTTGACATCGTTCAAAGCTCCTCCTTCTGTTCTCTGATTGGCCCAGGTAAAAATCTGCCAGTGAAATCCATCTCAATGGGAAAAGTCCCAGATGGAGCAGAGAAGGGAAACTAGAATTGAGCGGAGCTGCGTAGGAAGTCAAGGGCCAGGCTAACTACATGAGGAGTGAAAGATAGATACTAAGGTCACAGTTGTCAACATGCATAAATAAATAAATAAATAAATAAATAAATAAATAAATAAATAAATATGCCACAAGAAGATATAAAGAAAAACTTTACATAGTGTGTCACACATGGAGTGTATTACAACATACAAACCTACACATTCAGCCATAGTAGAGTGATTATTTCTAAAAAAAAACTTATTTCAATTAATTGCAATTAATCGCAAAAAAGAGATTAATCGAGATTTGCATTTTTAATCCATGCCCAGAACTATTTTATTTATTTGTATTCTTTTTCTTTCCAGCTTGAGCTTGTTTGTTTGTTGAAGTTGTTTTTTGAAAATAAGAGGCAGATAAGTGTTTTTATCTTCACTGTGCACCCTTTTCATTCAGGGTAATTTACTTTGTATTTTAATGCTGTACATAGATTGTTTGTTTTTAAATAAATATTTTGACAAGGCAAAATACCTATTTGAGATATTGTATCTGTAATTACAATCTGACTATCAGTAGTATAAATAATTTTAGATTTATCAAGTTGTATGGAGACCTCAGTTCAAGATATCTTAAATGCATCTTTTGATATGAGAAAAGTTATATAAGATTCAATTAATGCAAACTGCAGACATTTTCATGTTCTGTAATTTGTATTTTTTTTAAAAAGCTTCATTTTATTTTAATAAATACTAACACTAATGACTTTTCTGTTGTCGATCATTTTCATAAGCAACCCTCCCAAGGCCAATACTCTAGGGGAAACACTGGAAAGGTCTAAACAAAATTTTATTGAAGATGTTTTTGATAATACAATTGACTAACTGTGTGACTCAGTCTGCAATGTTTGCATCTGCTTAATCATATGTAATGTAACCATGCTAAGCTTTTTGTAATACAAAGTACAGTACACGCTTTTCTAATTTTTATCAAATTTTGAATATTTGCAAAAGCTTTTATTGTATTGAGCAGGTAACATTTGTGGTCACCTGCTCTACAGGGCAGGTAAAAATCTTGCTGACAAAAGATCAAAAGACTGGGTGGACATGGACATGATGCTTATAAAAGATAATGAATTATGTGATTGAACCATTTACATATATCTGTAATTTATCATTTTCAGCTGGTATATTTCCTGACAATATGAAAACAGCCAAGGTAATTCCTCTTTTTAAAAATGGTGAAAAACATATGTTCAAAAATTACAGACCAATATCCTTGTTACCACAGTTTTCCAAAATTTTTGAGAAATTATTTGTCACCAGATTGGATCATTTTATCGAAAAGCACAATATTTTAAGTAATAGTCAGTATGGCTTTAGAGCTAAAAATTCCACATCAATGGCTCTTATGGAATTTATGGAGCAAAAAACAACTGCTATCGATCAAAAACAGTATTGTTTGAGTCATTTATGTAGATTTAAAGAAAGCATTTGATACAAATGATCACAGTATTCTTCTTGAAAAATTAAGTAAATATGGTATTAGAGAGTCGGCTCTACAATGTGTATCTAGTTATCTGAAAGACAAGAAACAGTTTGTACAGATAAATGGTTTAAGATCTAAACTTGGTAATATCACATGTGGAGTCCCTCAAGGCTCTGTACTGGGACCTAAGTTATTTATTTTATATGTAAATGACTTAGTAAATGTGCCAGGACTTTTCAAATGTGTTTTATTTACTGCCGATACAACATTTTTTGTTTAGGTAAAGATATAGAAAAAATGTTTGAGATGGTACAGAAAGAATTTGAGAAAATACAAAATTGGTTTCAACAAAACAAATTGTCATTAAATATGGATAAAACAAATTATATGATATTTAGTAATATGAAGACAACTGTTAATTTTTTGTTTAAAGTAGATGGTGCTGAGATCTGTAAAGTCAGTGAGGTGAAATTTCTGGGTGTCATCATGGATGACAAGCTGACATGGAGACCTCACATATATTATTTAAGAACAAAAATATCTAGATCTATAGGAGTACTGTATAAAGTCAGAGAGTTATTCAGTGACAAAGCTCTGCTTGTGTTGTATAATTCAATAATTGTTCCACATATAATTTACTGTATTAAAGTCGGGGGTAAAGCTTGCAAAACAATTACAAATCCGATTTTAGTTTTACAAAAAAGAGCCGCAAGAATTATCGCTAGAAAACATTACAACTATGTATCTAATACATTATTTTGTAAACTGAAAATTTTGAAATTGTATGATTTGATTGACTATAATAGTTTACTGTTTATGTACGTAGGGGCGGCTGTGGTGTAGTGGTAGAGCAGCCGGCTTGGGACCYGAAAGTCTTAGGTTCGACTCCCCGCCATACCCACATGTCGTGGTGTCCTTGAGCAAGACACCTAACCCTAACTGCTCCCCGGGCGCCTCACATGGCTGCCCGCTGCTCCACTTGGGTGTGGATGGGTCAAATGCAGAGCACAATTTCGTCATTGTGTGGAAACATACACTGATGACAAATAAAGCACCTTTACCTTTATGTACAAGGTTCACAGATACATGTTACCTTCCAACATTCAGGTAAACTTTAAGAGACAGTTGTTATTATCTAAAGGGGATGGAAATGTTTGTGAAGCCATATTTTCGTACTTGCTTGATAGAAAGATGTACTTTAATCCAGGGTACAGGTTTGTGGAACGGTCTGGAAGATGATCTTAAAAATGCTAGATCTATGTATATATTTAAGACAGATAAAAGCTAGTTTTTTGAAGATACAGTATATGAAAAGTAAAATGTGAACTTATTTGATTTGTTGTTTGAGTTGACATTTTTATTTTTATTATTATTTTTTATTTTATTTTATGTTATTTAGTATTGTTTTGTAAATTATGTTTTGTTTGAACATATTCTGGGTCGAAAAGGGGGAGACATAATAAGATTTATTCTTCTTCTGCTACCTTTCATTCTATTTTGATTTAAAAAATAATAAAAAATAAATAAAATCTTGTCGAACCCTGATAAAGTTGTTTAAAATAGAGTAGAGATGCTGTCAGAACCAAGAATTACTTAAACATTGTTTTAAACTCACTCTTGTCCTCCTGAAGCACATCTCTGATTTTCTGCCTGATCCTCCTCTCCTTCCTCCTCTCCTCTTCCTCCTCCGTCAGCCCTGTGCTGTGCTGGTTAAGGGTTCCATACAGCTCGGCCGCCTCCCGCGGAGTGAGCCAGTCCAGTTTTGAGACGCAGGACACGTAGTGGTTCTTCCAGGCTCCGAACTCTTTTTCTCCAGGAGTGTACGGAAGGAACCAGCCTCTCCTGATGCAGCGGTCAGTCCAAAGACAGTCCTGGAGACAAAAACAGCTTTTGTTCTTCACTAAATACCTCAATTCAAATGCATCTTATAGACCACTCACGTCTTCTGACAGGACCCTCCAGTGCCAGCTGACCCGCGCGGCACTGCAGAGTTCTCGAGGGGACAGGAAGGACATGATGTACAAGGATAAAAACCGAGGAAGTATTGCCGTGAAGTCTGCCCGGGTTACTGGAACCGTCTCAATCAGCAGATCCCTGCAGTACCTGTGCAGGCAGTCAGAGGTCTGCATAGAGGTTTCACAAAGAAACACACAGAAAACAAGGTCCAAGCGGCCTTACTTGAGCTGCGACTTGGTGCAGCGAGCAAGCAGAGAGTGCAGCAAGTCTTTCCTCTGAGAGTCAGTCCACAGGTCAAACCAGTGCAGCACAAGATTTACCCGCTCCTCAAATAACTGGGGAGAAAAAAAAAAACATCAAAAGAATGCACGTCGCTCTGAAGCAGATTATTATTAGTGACAATAAACTCACTTTGCATTCAGGAAAAACATGTTAAATATATGATTGTGCACAAATAGGAGGATGTGGCAGTCAACTAAAGCTCTGACTTTTACAGTAATTCTTTGTTTTTCTGTTGATTAGTTAGTATTCTTGGGAAAAGTATTAATTATTAGAAGACTGGGTAAACTATTTGTAAAGTCAGCTACTTTTCCAGCAAGTTAGATTGACAATGTTTTATTCAGCTAAAAGGCAAAATGTATATTGAACCTCAAGTATTTAATGATTTACTTTGTTTAACCCCGGATTTACACTACATGCGTCTCCGCTCCGCTGTGCTGCGGTGCGCAGTTCGCAGCTGTTCGTTTGCAACCTAATTTCTACAGCCTCCGCTCCAGTCTGACAGACAGAGGAGGGAGGGAGATCACGTGACAGCTGAAAACATAGACATAAAAGCTTTTGATATCTATGGTTGAAACTGTCTCGCTGTCGTCTTTTCGAAACTTCTGATTTCAAAATAAAATCTGTAGGGTAATTTAAATGTTTAGAATTCTGAACTAGATAATTTGTGGATATGATTAAATATAGTATATTTACATATACTATATTTAATTATATCTTTACCTCGGAGCACCACATTCTTAATTTGATCAGATACTGACCCAGGAAAGAAATGAAAAACTGTAACTTTATTGTAATCAGTCTCAGAATATATTTAACCCCATTGAGTCTTATCAAGGTCGGAATATCTCATCAAGACACAAAGAAAAATTGAGATTAGTTCAAATTGGCAAGTTCTCCAC